CTAGAATAGAGAAACAAAAATGCACGCAAGAAAATACTACCCTTTGAAACTCAATACCACCCTGCGTTGCCCAACCTCAAGAACATACTCATGGGAAATGACATCTTATACAGAACCAACCACACCTGAGAAACATCTTTAAGGAGCCTCCCCTCATTTCATATCGCAAAGGAAAATCCCTAAAAGACACTCTAGTAAGAGCTAAACTATAAAGGTTTTAAGACCAATCTATTTGCGAATTGCAGGAGTCGTGAAGGCCCGTCAACACTTTTAAAGTCTGTTTCAGTCCCTCGCGGAAACAAAGGTGATCAAAAATTGTCGTCTCCCTTCTTGATTTAAAAAACATGCATCTTGATTTAGAAAACGTGTCTCTTGATACATGACATAAAACACGCGGGAATTGAAATTAAATTCTACAATCTTGACACATTCAAAAAGCAAATTGATGTTAATTTTATCGATCTTGATAGTGAATTGGTGGACTTGAATTATAAAGTTGCATCTTTGATATTTTGTCACTTTTGGCGTAGCATACACGCGAGGTAGTGATGAAATTTCTTCCAGCTCAGTTTTCTTGGAGTTAATGTAAAGGTCTTTAAAAGGATTTCATTCATTCAAAAATTTTTCAATTTGACCGAATACAGAGGAGTTATCATGAAAAATTCACCGCTCATTCGCATGTAGGAATCAGTTTGTGACTGGTTGGGGCAACGACTTACGGACTCATTTTCCAAATAATCAATTCAATCTTGGGGGTAACGATTGACCTACATTGACTTTAAGGTGGCTCCCTAGAGTAAATTAGCCGTGCGCAGCCTGAGCACTAGTATAGCGCGAGCTTTAAAATCCGCGCGACGTCCACGCAAAAATTAAAATAAACATGGCCTCTCAGTTTCCAAATATTCCACTTTCTGTTGAAGCTCATTGTGCATAACGTTTGATTAGTGTAGGTCAAACATTTATGAGAGGAGACAATGTTACACCGGTTACAAGTCACTATCGATCTCCATAAGAGTAAATTATATGTAAAAACAAAGCAGAAATTTTCCAAAGACATCAATTCTTTCGTTTCAAAAGTAGACAAACGTTACATAGTCGAAGTAAATGGTGAGTGGAAACTTTACTAAGAAAACAAAGAAGTAAGTACACTAACCCAGAAGGAAGCAATGTTGCTGTTTCTGGCCTTTGCTTCACGGCCAGTGGAAAGATCCGAAAGATCGAGCCAATTCCCGAACAAACACTGAAGATTGTCTTCACTGGCGGAGCTCCTCCGTCACTTTATTTCTCTTACATTTGATTTGATTAAAGTAATTCTAGAAGTGGCTTTAAGACAAGATTACAAGGAGTGTAAATTTTTTTGTTTTGCCGACTCTATCACATTTTTTAAAAAACTTATCAGAAAAAAGGTTTCCCACTTCTAAACTTGCATCCTAATCGAAGGAACCTTTCCATTGACGAACCAACATCCTTGTATTTCTTCTTGTTTCAAACGTCCTTCAACGCACATGCAAGATGCACTAGAAAATGTTTTTGCACAACGAGAAATAATTTTTACGCACAGATTGACCCTTTACGAAAGTAATAGTTGTCCGTCGAGACCTACGGTCTTGTACATGTAGCTGAGGACATGATGTACGATTTATAGATCGGCGCCATCTTTCACAGCAGACTTGTAAAAGAAAAACTTCGCCGTCGAAATTATCCCTAAAGAAAAACAAGGTTGAAAAAGTATCCGGAAGTGGGCTGACATTTGAAGACCCGCAAACAGTGTACGGCAGATTAGGAAATGAAGGGCTTATTGCGATCCCCTCCACAACCACCGTCTTCATCTCCGACGATCGCCATCCTCACGAGTGACCACCACGGTTCGAATTTTAGCTACGATAGTTAAGTACTACGAAGAAAACATCCTGGGTTAGGTATAAAATTAAATCCGCTATCTCTCCTTTTTCAATTGGCGAGATATCACCGTAATAATAATATATAGATTTAGCCAGGGCTAAAAGCGAAGCTCCCATTAATAAATTTATGATTTAAATCAAACAATAAACTTGTAATCCACAAATCAGTTAACTTAAGGGCACATATGTGACTTTTTAGGGAAAGCTAAGGCTAAGTGATTTTAGAGTGAAAAAAAATCCTTCATCGAATTGATAGCCGGTATATATACACCCAAAAAATAGCAATCATCGTCGATCACATTGAAGAGCCATAATAGCTCTTGATCACAGTAGATTAGACCTGGAAAACGAATTCATGAAAAAAACAAATCAGGCCGAATTTTTTGCGTTCGACAACTTTACTTAACAAAATCTTGCCAACAACTCTGGGAGCGTGTAAACCAACATTTCATACTTTTTATGCATCACATCTGAGGTGAAACAGTAATATAAGGCGCTGTTTTTATCATACAGACCTCAGACAAAATGCAGTATTTCACAATTTTTCAGGACAAATTGCACTCATTCAATATTCAGAACCGTACGAAGCACGCGTGGGCTTTTAGCACAACCGTTCACAAAATTTCCAAAATCACCTATACGGCCAGCCGGTTGTCACTTTTGACAAGCGCCAAATTTTCAGTGAACATTGAAAGAGTTACGCTTCAACATAATAAAGAATTTATTGTTTATTTTTTTTATTTAATGGTTTTATAACGATGTGCAAACACGCGGCATTTTGAGTACTCCTGCGAGCGTTGTCTATGAACGACTGAAAACAAACAGCAAAGCGATTAAAATTGCAAGATACTACTAACAATCAATAAAAGAAATGTAATTCAGTGAAAAATTTACAGAGACATCAATTTTCATTCACGAAGAAAAGTATTAAAGCGTCTCTAAAAATCCTGAGTCTTTACGCTTAATAAGCCTAAAGCTTTTAGCCGACTTCCTGGTGTTTACTGTTTTCAGAGATGAACTCGAGGCAAGAAAATCGCTCAAAGCTTTCTTTCTACAGCCAAAATTATAACCAAATACTCTTCGGAACTTTTTTTCATTCTATATGCGGAGAGAAAATATCGACTAAAGGCTTTCTTATATATACTAGATCAGATCATTGTCTCAGATCTTAATACAATCGACTTCATGAAATTAGATATAAAAAAACAAACATACACTGTATACAATAATTACTCAGGCTTACCATTCGAGATGCAGCTCTTGAAAGCTATCAAGTAAGGCCAGAGTCGCTTGAGGGACTTTTCAACCCCGCATCCAGCAAGGTGAAAAACGAAAACGATCCATCCGAAGTCGGATTTCCAACTTTGACAACCGGCGCATTTCCCAACCAAAAATTCAATAAACAAACCAGCCATGAATCAAAGAAGACTGTTGATAGCAGCTGTATTTCATTTTAAGCATCCAGTGGGAAAAGACAGTAAAAAACATCACAAGTTGACAAAATACTCTGTCAGCTTCAGCTATCAAAGTAAACAAGGTTCAAGGTGCTGTATAAACTTTCTGAATGAACTCCACCTGTCAAATTTTGACCAATCAGAGCATAAAAATTGGACGGTCGTAGAGCGTGATCAACGCGTGACTATGGTGAGAAAAGTGAAAAGCCTCTGTCTTCTCTGCTTGTATTTTTAAATGTTTGGCTGAATTTTCGCGTCCGAGATCAGTTTGAAATCAAAATGTTAATAACACGGGGCCATAGTGACATTAACACAACACTTTCTGTCATCATGTCATTATGTTGCTGTCGTTCTCTTTGCCTTTGTATTTCTCTTTCGCGTTGCCTTTGTCTGTTCATTCTTGCCCTGTCTCGTTCTGCTTGCCGGCGTTTTTCACTATAATTTTCTCTCCTTCTTCTCTCTCTGACTCTTTCTACTTGCCGATTTTCTTCGCTAAAATGTTGTCTTCTTCTTCTACTTCTAACGCGCTCTCTTTGGCGATCGTCTTCGCTTGTTCTACGCGCGTTGACTCTTGCTCTCTGCCGTTCACCTTCTCTTTGCTCTCTGCTTAAAACCTGTCATCTACACGCTAAAATCTCTCTGCTGTTGTTTGTTGACATAATAGCTTTCGTAAGTTGTAATAAAAAGTTATAAAGGCTCTGTCGAAAAATCTTTTTGCTAAGTTGCTTTGAAATTTCTTTTTTCAAAACCAGTTGCGAGATATAATTGTGCGACGTTGCGCCATGCGATTTCCCGCCAAAAAATCTCCACTTTCCCCTACCCCAAGAGTCCATGCGGACTACTTTCCACTACCCGGAAATTCCGTACGGACGGACGTACGCTGACGTCATAACCAAAATTTCTCGGATGGGTAGTTTATCTTAGTCATGGTGCTCCGCTCGCGCGCGCTTCGCGCGCGCAAGGAGCTCCGCTACTAATAAACGGCTTCAAAACAATCGCTTTCGTACTTTTCAAAGAAACACATGTTTTCAGTAGCTTTGTGCATTATGCGCATGCTGGCGTGATGGCTCGCGCGCGTATCAATTTGCTCATACGACCCTGAACCACGCGTGTTTTCCGGATTTTTGTGACGTCAGCGCAGTTAATTAACCGTGAATTTCTCGCGTTTCCTTCGGTAAATTTTTTTAAAAATCGCCTCATTTCTTAACAGTCGCAGTACCTTTGTGCTGTCATTTTTTAGTCAAAATCTGTAAGAGCTAAACTCCTCTATTAAGACAAATTACAAATTTCAAAATATTGGCAAAACCTTTTTCCACTTTAAAATGTTAAGCAATATCGTTAACATAAAGTGGCGAAGTTTATAGACATTTCACCGCTGGAAATTAGCAATATTAAGGAAAAATGGGCAAAAATGACGAAATTACTGCCTGTTTAAGAATGCGATGTTTCCATGGCAACGGCCTTAATCCAGAAAATGAAACTTGATAAGGGAGCCCTCTTATATGGGTAACCTTAGCGGTGAATCTCGTGAACAAAATCGCAAAGACGGAGTGACTAGATTTCGTTCTGTAACGTATGCTAGATAACTAGGGTTATTAGTAAATACTCTAGGGAGCCACCTTAATACTGTTGTCTATTTATTTGTCAACCTAGCTGATTTTTATTGGAATACATAGAAGCAGCATTTACATCTGGCCCAGGAGTTCTACGTCCTTACGATTGTACTATCGCTCTTCGACTGTTTCAGTGAAACTAGATATGCATAAAAGGTAAAAAGAAAAATGCACAAATGAATACCCAACAAACTAGATGACTGTCTTGAAAAGCTTTTCAGTCCACAGGCAACCTGCTAAATCGGTACATCATGCCTGGAAAACATATCGTACGGTACGTGCGTGGAACAAATCTTTCCAACGACACATGAGGCAGAAAAACTACGCGGCTGACCCAAACGGATACTTAGTAATTCACCACGAAACCGACAGGGTGTATCGAGTTTTAAAAAGGCGACGTTCATGCCCCCTTAATTAAGCTTTAAAAATCTATTTTCTCTTTAGACGCCGTACGCGTTTTGTTCTTGCTCATTTGACCTGCTTTGTAATTTGGTGGTCATTCTGTTTCGTCCTCCACACTTAACTTGACGGCTGTCAATTTTGGGTCATCTTGGGTATCAATGTTAAGCAATTTGCTGACTTTGGACTGCTGGGAACCTCTGTGCTTGATGGAATACCTCCTTGATGCGTTCTAACAAATAAATATAAATATTATAAACGTCAGTTAGTCAGTTAATAAGTGGTAAAAAATACTATCATAAATATTCAGTATTTCACTATACATATAAGAGCTAAAAAAAAACCCTGCTGCTCAAAGTAAAGGCGGAAGATAAGAAATAAACGTTGCACTTAAAGACAAAAACGAGAAACAAACAAACAAACAGACAAAAAACTACTTAAGGAAAAAAGTTTTACCACTTTTCGATTAATTTTTGTAGGTTCGTTGGGACACTCGGTATCGATCATTATCGCCCATGATTGCCAACTTTCTTCTTTAAATTTACCCTCATAAGAGCTTAGTGAATTTCTCAGAAAAGAAAACAGCAATACGCACATTTTCTTTAAATATATCAGAGGAGTCTAACGCTCAAACTCACATACCACGAACCGCGAGAACATTGAAAGAGCCATTTCCTTTCCACTTCGCCCATGTCTACGATTTTGTTGCTGAAGTCTCTGATGTTTTCTTCGAACTCTTTTGCTGCTTAACCTGGTTTCAAATCCTTGAGAGTGTTCCAACAAAATATAGCTTGAAATCAGCCAGAAGCTAAGTAAGATAGAGATACGCTTGGAATCCATCGTTAATACGTGGCCACGTTTGCGAATAACAGCGGAGAGCGGATTGGTAGTTGGTAGCCACAACCAGTGTTTTAAGGTAAAGTACAGTGAACGTTACTCTTAATTAAAGTTTCCTTTGTACCCCAGGAGGGTCTCTTGTGCTAAGACACGTCTTTCGGGTCGTACCACACGCTATGAATATACATTACCCTAAATTGGTTTACTATAATAGGTGATTAACTTAGGTAAAGACGTTTCCCGATGACAACTCTACTCGACAACGACTCACAACCCACATTTGCTACGAGTAGGAATCTTAAACAAACGCCACTAATCTTGTGAACAAGATTAATCAAATTTTTGGCATGAAAATTGGAGATGAGACGGAAACATCTTGCGTGCACGTAGCTTTACGTCGGTCAAGCAACAACGGGTAAGCGAAGTCTTATACTTGCTAGTTTTATTCGAGTTATGCAAATGAGATACTGCCTTTGGCGCAGAGGGGTTTAAGGCTATTTTTCCATGGAGTCACTAGACCTAATTATAATAGTTTTGACCTGTAGACATGGCGTGGAATTACCAACACGAAAAAAAGGTAAAAAGACGCGAATTGATAAACTGCGTAATTTTTGAACCACGGCATCAGTTAATTCCATAAGCAGAGAAAGTTTCAAAGAACATAAAGATTTTTTGGCCGGAGCATGCTATTTTAACTGTTCAATATATAGTCAAATCTCTGTTGACGTGACTATGTGTTGTACTGATGTAAACACTAAGCCTTTAACCGGAAACCTTAAAGGCTTAAATTAGTCAAAAAAAAAGAAAAAAAGGTTAACTTTTCTAAGCTCGATAAATGTTTATTGCAAATTTTGTTGATCAATTCATCGGTTTCCGTTGACCAGTGACAAGTAAGACTTTGTATACCTTGTGACGAAATTACACGTCGCTAAAAGTGCCTACCAGGCAGGGGAACTACAAACGGTTTTTTGCACGCGAAGGTCTAGATAAGAAGAGCAAAATCAACACTTTATTCGTAAATTAAACTTATCTTACACTTCCGTCTTTGTCCTCGCAGTTTATAACAATGTGAATCACAGCAGTTACCCCAATGGCCAGGAAGATTAGATTTTCTATCTGTTGTCAGGGGGGATAACCTTTATGGCTCTGGTTTATTTTTTCAGTCCTTCGACATTTTTTGGCTAATTTACTTTGTAGAGCGGACAATATCGTACTTTCCACTTCGTTAGAGAATCAAAGCAGGGTACAACACTGATTCATGCCATGTTTTCGAGTAGTAAGCTTAGAAAGTGCATGTAAACTATTGACAGCCTAAACCAAATGAACGATAAGCCGTCCTAATTGCATTAATGCCTTTAATGAAAAATACCTATACCTAATACCTACAATAGGATTACCCATTCTAGAAGATTTTAAAGGGAATAAGTAAATATATATCCGGGATTAGCTCTTTTAACATCATGTTTCAAAAAGACGTATATCCTAAGCCTTTAATGGAATGTGGTTAGTATACTTTAATAACATAACATATTGTCACGTGTTTTAGTCAAAAGACTATTTGCCGGCTAAAAAGCACCTTGACCTCGTGTTCCTAGAACGGGCTCTTTTAGCGGTTTTAGTAATAATAGAGCCGTAGCTAGCTAGGTTTTTTGTAACGGGGGGCATTATCGCGAGTGGCGAAGGCACAAACCTTGTGAGGGGGTATCTTTCCCCAGAAATGTTTTAGATTTGGAGGCTCTGAAACGCTATTTTTAGTTCTTGTCATGAGATATGTCCCCTAAATATCGACCTCGAATGTGAAAATGGCAAACAATTGCAAGGCACTATAATCAAAATAACAGAGTCTAAAGAAAACAAATCCATCCACAGACTTAATGTGTCTGGCTCAACAGGTCCAGGGGGGGGGGGGGGCAGCGGAGCCCCTTACCCCCACGCTAGCTACGGCTCTGGATAAGCAGGAATAAAAGGACACACAAGTTAAGGGATAGGTAATAACAAACGAAAAAAAGTTAGGGGGTAAACTTAGGGAAGACAGCGGCTGAAATCAAACCTAGGGTAAAGGGTTATCGAAATATTTTAAGAGATAATGACATTAAGTTCAATTTCTACATTTTTTGTTTTGGTTGCTGATTTTTTTAAAATGAACAAAAAATCATTATCACGCAATTTAGGCCAGTTCTAGCCTCCCATACAGATCTTGTTGCACATCAAACATGGCCGACCATGAACATAGCCATTTCTTGCCACTTTACTTATAAGTCCTTCGCGTTTCAGTTGTGACCAGTATAGCTGTTAAAGACTTGCCTCTTTTGTGTGAACTAGTAAGTCAGATTTCTCTAGAAAATTCGTCCCTGAAAATGTGATCTAAAAATACCTTTAAACCTTATCGAGCTTATTGATAGTCGAACCCGCGGCATTCGTTTTGACGTCACGGGTGAACAACATCTTCGCGGGAAGGAAGTGAGGAAGTACAAGTCTAGGGTAATAAAAGCGGTAGTAATGTCATTTATGACGAGATAATTTTAAAGTAACATCAGACTTAATTGTCTGGGTACAATGGTTTTGACCTTCGCCTGCCTCTAATTACGTACACTGAAGACATCATATTCGGCGCGGGCTAAACGTGACTTTTGCGAGCGGCTTACTAAAATCTAATTTACTAACCAATTTTTCATTTCCGAGATATTAGCAATTTTGCTATCAACAAATTCGAAGTCAAATAAAGTATCTGATTGATTGATTGATTAATATGTCTGTCTGTGCATATTTTGCTGTTCTATTCGACAAACTCAGTCGAATAGAACGGCAGAGTCGATCCAAATACAAAAAAGTGCCGTTCCCAATTGATTCGTACGTCGAACTTTACATGTGCGGAACCTAATAATTAGGTTCGGCAGAGCTTAACCTGATATAAAGCCAAGTGTTGATATCTTGAGGTGTAGCCGGATGTTTCTCTCGTAATCTAGCGGGGTTGATCGACTTCTGTGACGCAGACTTAGGTTTGAAAATAGAGCAGGAGTACTATTATTACTCTGAGGCAGTAGGCTATGTTCCAAAGATCATCAAAAACAATTTTATCGCCTGGAGCTTACTCTTGCAACCGCGGAATAAGAGCAAGCAAGGACTAAGTACAACACCGTAATAAGTTCAAGTCTCTGAGAAATGTGCCGCTGTAACTAACACTGAAACCATGTTGTGGTGTTGTCTTGACGTGTCTCAGGCTGGTGTCTATGAGCGACTCATCAGCACGTGTTGTTCTATTTATTTTGTGCTTTTCATCACTTGCCCTCTAACTAGGGACATGTAAAAGGCCCTTTACCTCCTATGACGTCATATAAGATTAAACCAATCAAATTCCATGTCTCCTATGGTGCATATGCTTCGGCCTGGTGACTTCAAGCCACACATCGCGTAGTCCATTGAGGTCAACACAAAATGTCTCGTCCGGGTGGGGTTAGTGTTTTACTATTTTTAGCCGTGACACTTCCAAATGAAGCATACTTGAGGTAAAACAACAACAACAACAACAACAAAATGGTCAAAGAGTACTGGAAACAAGTTTAAAAATTAAAAATAGAAGGCGGCCGAGTCTCGAGAAATTTTTTTTTTGGCTTCAAGACGATTTCTGGAAAGTTTCTTCGCACTGTCTACCCCTCACGGGTTCAGGTCAACCGAAGGAAAACAAAACAAAACAAAACAAACCAACAACAACAAAAATCGTAGTCTTTGTTTTAAAAGACTTTGGTGGTTTTAAAGGCAGAGGAGAGATGTCGCGATTTCAGGCCGGTGGTACCATAGGCAATTTCTGCAAACTCTCAGTGGTTTCAATCTTTCCGTGAAAGTACAGTCGACTCCCGATAACTCGAACCCTCGCTAACTCGAAACTCGCGCTAACTCGAACGAAAATCGATTTCCCCTGGATTTCTATCATACATTCACTGTAATTTTACCCTCGGTAACTCGAACCCTCGATAACTCGAACTCCCGCTAACTCGAACCAATTTTCGTTTCCCCTCAGGTCATTTTCTATATAATTTTACCCTCGATAACTCGAACCATGTTTTGAGCCCTTAAAAAGTCGGGAAAAAAGCCGTCCATGGGCGTCCGAAACATTGAATTTTGGATATCCTATTGACGTGTTATAGGAGTGTAGTTTACTGGCGGAGGCTGATGTTGATTGTCACAGCCTAACGTGAAGCAGCTTTTCTTCTCAAAACGGTAAATTTAGGCTATGTTTTGTTACGTTACGTTCTTATTTATAATCTAGAAGTCTCTTTTAATTTTCACCTGACATTTCTAGAATTAAATGTGATTAAAATGTTCACTGTGCAGTAAAAACTGTTTTTTACCTTACTCTCGGCTATTTTTTAAGAACTCCCGATAACTCGAACCTTTCTTGATTTCCCTTGAAGGTTCGAGTTATCGGGTGTCGACTGTATAGGCACGTGAAAATCCATACAAAAATGATGAATTTTTTATTGGTTTTTAGCGCGAAAAGCCCAGAGATTTCCGATAAGCCGGCATTAATCGAAGGTAAGATCTTGAATTTGATGTTTCTTGATATTATTATAGTCCGGTGGTACCCCCTGAGAATTGGTTACGAATAACTCACAACCAGAGACAAAAATTCTCTCAAAGTCGCTTCAGTCCTATGTAGTCAACAGGCGCTGCGCTAAAAATGATAGTATGTAATGATGATGATGGTGATATAATAACAATAACAACTGCGATCGAGAAAAAAGCAAAGGAGACTTTTGTCTGCGCAGGCGCGAACTATTCCCAGGTTTCTAGGGTTTTCGAGCGTTTTCGTACTTTGCACAGAACAAGCAATTATTGATAACTGGAACTTCGAAGGAGGATCATCCTTCAATAGGTCGTTAGTAAGCCAGGTAAAGGACATTAACATAAAAACAAACTCAACGTAAAGACAAAAAAATCATGTTACATGTCGCTTAAGGTAATTTTTCGGACCATAAAGCTCTTCTTGTACACACATAATATCAACAAAGATGGCGATCTCACCACAACAATGCTTCGGCAATCAAACGTGGAGTCATTTTTATGCGGTCCGAGGCCGCTCCTCGGGTGTTAATGGACGCTAACAAAAAAGAGAAGGTCTATTAAGGTAAGTACAATGCATTACATGGTTTCTAGCGCTTGTATTTTA